ATGGGGCTTGGACTCAGGACCTGTACCTGAGCTCTTTTTGCTCAAGGCTAATGCTCTACCACTTTGAGCTATAGCTCCACTTCTGGTGTCTCATGGATTTTTCTGCCCTGGCTGGCTTTGAACAGTGATGCTCAGATCTCAGCCTCCTAAGTAACTAGAATTACAAGGATGAGCTACCAGTACCCAGCTACTAAATTCTTTTACTAACCAGAGGCTCCAAAAAACTATACACCTTGTTACAATTAGGAATACATGAGCATAAGCCTGTAAAGGACTGCCATTATCATTAATTTTAAGGCACATACTTGTGCAATGTCTTCTTGAGCTTTGTATCCTAGAAGGCTTATCCATGGGGAATAGAAATACATTGAATATACAAGGGAGCTAGCAACAATTAGCAGCACAGCTCTACATATTGTCACAGTTATAGGGTACCTATTTTAAAAAAAAAAAACCTTGATAAAACAGATACTCAAGAGAACTATGACTCTGTTAAGACTCATATCCCAAGTAATCAAGTTTGTCAAGACTAACAGCATACTGCAGTTTGGAAAAGTAAGATATTTCCTTTAAGCTAATTGTCTGTAAATGTTACTAAGAATGATCGCCTTAAGATACATAACTAGCCCCAAAATAGGAAAAAAAAAAACCAAAAATTCATATGGAAGCATAAAGGCAGACTCTTGCCATTCTGCCTTCTGACCTAATAGAAAGCCTTCTTGCTCTCCTCAAAGGTTTCTGCTACTCGTTAAAGTCAGCAGGCAGACGAAAAAGTTCTATTTGTCATATTCCACTCCTCAGGCCATCAAAAAGTAAAGCAAGAGCTCCCTAGTTTAGGAAATGCCCTTATTTTTACTCCCTTCAGCCTTTGGGCTGAAACAAGAGGGGAAAATTCCCACTTGCTTTATGCTCATATGTTGTGTATAGCATGGCTTTATATTTCATGTGACAGCTCTTTGGAAAAACCTTGCTGTCTATCTCCTTTAGCGTCTAGACTGCACAGAAGTCATTTCTCTCATGATGGCACTAGGGAGCCATGACGACACAGGCACAAGGTCCTGACTACCTTGTTCCGGGAGAACGGCAACTAACCTATGGTTAAATTGCTCTAAATTAGTATATACAGGTATTATTTTTGTACATTAGTCTATAAAATATTAGACAAAAACTTCATTTGCCCCTGGAATTCTAGAAAATCATTACTAAATGTGAGTGATTTTTAATTTTTTTTAACCTTTTTTATGTTCACTTAAGTCTTGGCATGCCTAATTTTAAACATGAGTGCTTGTTTGTGTGCATATGTTTAGGATGATCCTTAAATTATTATAAAGTTAATATATGAGAGACCACAAAGACATACCCCAAATCCTGTATCCATTTCAAAAGCTCAGAGCAGACTGGTCTTCCATTTTATCTTATCACATACACAAAACTATGGTTTACTACCTGCCTGCAATAGCCTGTGAAACCAAGTGTCCACATCCTCAGTGTGGAAGAGTCCCACTTAGCATCTGGGGCACTAACATTGACTGCTACCGAAACTCACCCTTGGCAATTCCACCCAATTACAACCTCATCTCAACAAAGAAATAAAAAAAACTCCACGTTGGGGGAGATGGGAAGGGGAAACAAAGGAGGCAACAATGCTTGATAAGAAATGTACTCAATACCTTGCCCATGTAATTGTAACCCCTCTGTATGGTATTTTCACAATAAAAATTTTAAAAAAAAACACCAACTGAAGTATAGGAGATTGAAATCTCAACAACTACTGGACCCAGAAGCATAATTATGAATCCTTGAATAAACAAAACAGCACGTCTCCCTCAAAAGCCAATAATGCCACAGTAAAGGACTTAAGTGAGAGAAAAAAGAAAATAGTTCAAACAACAAGCTCAATAAACCAATGGTGAGATTGGTTAGTAAAATGAGGGAAAAGATGTTTAAAAAATTGGATGAATGCAAAAAAAAAAAAAAAAAAACCTCGGGGAAGGTAGGGAGGGAAGGGATGGTAGGGAGAAAACAATGGAGGGGGTAACAATGTTCAAGGGGAAGTGTACTCATTACCTCAGTCATGTAACTGTAACCCTCTGTATAGTATCTTTACAATAAAAAAATTGGATGAATGAAATTCAAACAAGACAATACATATAGCTGAATGAACTAAAGGATGCAATGCAGGATATGAAGAATTTTAAAAATGTATCAATCTTCTTGTATCATCACATTTTCTTAGGTCAGTCATTGGGTTAAAAATCCAACTCTTCTCCTTTATTTCTGCAAGGACCCTATTTCCAAATTCAGTTCCATTTGAGAAAGTTCTAGGTGTTAGGTCTTCAACATATCTTTTTGGGTCACATAACTCAACCCATAACAGTTCTAACTACTTTATAAGTACCCAAGTTAACTTCTTGAGGACTCTATTGTGTGTTCCTGGTACATATCATCTGCATCTCATGAAAATGATGCCTCTTTTCCAGTATTTACTTCTCATTTATTGCTCTTAATGTGAATCTCATTGGCTAGCACATTATTATACTCAATCAACAAGTATTCATGATCTTAAACTTTGAATCTGATTACTATCAGAGTAGAAACTATTTGCAATTCTTATGCAAACCATGTGTTTTGGTTTTGTGGGGATATTTTTGCTTATTAATTTCAAAGAGCTTCGTGCATTAAGTCTTAACCTTTATGGCCTATTGAAAATATTTTACACTCAAAACTTTGAAAGGACCTTGTCAACTACCCAGTAGCTAACAAAGCATAAAAGCTACAGAGCTACTGTACTATAATGACACCTTTCTGTGCAAGTCAGTAAACAATTAGCATACTGTAAGAATAGGAAGACCAATAGTGGAGTACAATGCAGAATTTCATGAAGCACTCTTGAAAATTTCAAGTACGCTAATAATTTGTTTCACAGTATACTATTTATAATGCCAGTTTCTTCTCAGCTATAGCACTCAAAGGAGCTTCAAGAACTAAATGATCTGATTAACCCTTTGAATGCTTCACAGTTCTTGTTCTCATATGCATACTAAGTTTCCACTGACATTTAAATTTCCTCATCAAAAAAGCAATTAATCAGTCCTTGGTTTATCTAAGTGACCAAATAAGATTTATAGAATACGTCCTTACAAATTTGATAGGATTTTACAAAAGCCAAGTCATGTAATGAAGTTTGCAAAGTGATTTAGACAAGTTTGACTGATCTATTTAGTAAGATATTCAGTGCACAAGCACAGGAGTAAAAACATTTAAAAATACTATACTTTTGAATGTTGCTGACCAGAGTTGAGAAATGTTAAATGAATATTATGATTTATGTTTTAAACCACTCAAAATAAGCACATGCTTACTTTGGCAGTGTATATTCCTCCTCCCCATAAATTCTATTCCTTCCCAAGGAACTCCTTACATGGTATATGATAGAATAAAGAACACTTAGTTCTATTTTATTTTTTGGTCAGTTGTAGGGCTTGAATCTGGGCCTGGACACTGTCTCTAAGCTCTTCAGCTCAAGGCTAGTGTGCTACTTGAGCTACAATGCTACTTCCTTCTTTTTCTGCTTATGTGGTGCTAAGCAATTGAACCCAGGGCTTCTTGCAGGCAAGGCAAGCACTCTACCACTGAGCCACCTTCCCAGTTAATTGGAGACAAAAGTATCACGGACTTTTCTGCCCAGGCTGGCTTTGAGCCACGATCCTCAAATCTCAACCTCCTGGGTAGCTAGTATTATAGGTGTGAGCCACCGGCACCCAGCTTGGTTCTAGTTCCTGGACGGTGTAAAAATATAGTTCAGTACTGTAGTCTGAACTCAAGTGTCTTGTGTTTGCTAAATGGGTGCTTGTCCACTTGAACCATGCCCCTAACCATAGAACTATGGGATATTAATACTCAGAACAAAGTAATGCTGAATTTGTTAGTTTTGAATTCATTAATTTTAATTTGAAGATTTCACTTCCAGAATCAACTAAAAGCCATACTGAAGGTGTTACTCAAGTGGCAGAGTGCTAGTCAAGCAAGAGGAAACACAAGGCTCCGAGTTCAAACCCTGGTACTGATCAAAGAAAGTTTCATTTTTTAAAAAAGACACTTCTATTTTCTAATATTGAGCTTTGGTACTTAGTACTAATCTTTACACTGAGACTATAGGGTTTTTCTTTTTCTTTTTGGTTCCAGTCATGGAGCTTGAACTAAGGGACTGGGCACTATTTCTGAGGTTTTTTTATTCAAAGCTAGCACTCTACCATTTGAGGCACAGGTCCCATTTCTGGCTTTTTGGTTGTTAACTAGAGATGAGAGTCTCACATTTTCTTGCTTGGGCTGGCTTTGAACTGACATCCTCAGATTTCAGCCTCCTGAACAGGTAAAATTAAAGGCACTAGCACATGGCTCTATTTATAGTTTTCACTTTCTCAATTCTTCCTCTCTCTACCACAAATACTTTTAACATGGCATGTAGTAAGTTATGAATTGAACATGTTATCCTTGAAGTAATTTGGGTATTTGTAAATAAGATTTTATTTCAGTAGGATCTGAATAGGAAGGATACAGTGGTTACTACCCACTAGCACCCAGCTTGCTATTACTACTTTTAAAATATAATTCAATTATTAACGTTTATTTGACTCTTCTTGAAGACCCAATAGTTGGCAGTGCCTGTATAAATTTACCTTCATCAGGCTTTATTAATGGACATGTTACATGTTTCCATTGTGAGAGAATAAATATTCAAGGACTTACTACCCACTGAGAGTTCTCTTATTCTTATTGGGGAACTGAATTCTACTAAAAATATTGTTTAAAATTTAGGTATTTTTTAAACAAAAAAATCCTATTTTTAATTCAACTCATGCTCATGAAGCAAAATATTTAATTATCAGATAAACACTACCAGATTTTATTTGCCAAAACGTTTAATGTTTGATAAAAGGTTAATTAAAATTTTGCAAAATATGAAATAATCAGTTTTTATTAGATGAAATCATTACTAACATTAAAATATGCAAAAAAGATACAAGTTAAAATATCACAAATCTCATACAATTAAACATACAGCAGTGTTTAAAAACAATGAATTGTAGAATGGACCCCAAGATTTAATGCAAACGCACTGTACACACAAGTTTCAGGCTTCTAACTTCACTGAGTCCAGTACAGAACGTGCTTCTTTATATTCCTCAGCTTCTTCCAAGTCTTTTTCACTTTCCTAAAAAAGGAATATAATAACACAATTATGTCTACCGTTCTCAAATTTCAGTCCTTCAATATTTACTAAAATACTACAAACCATTTAAGGTAAATAACTTAAGAATTGAAAGAAAGCATCCCAAACTTCTTGTAAATATGCTACATTCATTCCTTCTTTACAAGAAAAAGAAGGCACTAGATGAGGTTTGGTTTCTCTAAATATTCTCATAATTTGATATAAGTTAATAACATAGCTGTCTAAAGATATTGGTGTTAACTCAATAAAAATCAAAGAATTTTTTTGGGTCAGTCATGGGGCTTGAACTCTGGGCTTGGGTGCTGTCCTGAGTTCTTCAGCTCAAGGTTAGTGCTCTACCAACTTGAGCTACAGTGCTACTTCTGGTTTTCTGGTGGTTAATTGGAGATAAGAGTCTCATGGACTTTCCTGCCGGGATCCTTACCTGCCACCAGTGCCCAGCTAACCAAAGAAATTTTCAAAAATTTCAATTCTTTGTCAACTTCATCATACAAGATATTTTTATTATGATAGATTAAAAATCAAAGTGGAAGATTTGCTAATGTTTTACTATTAAAATATGCTCCAAAATAATGATTCAACTACTTGTAACATCAAAGGTGGCTATTAGTACCACATTAGAGTTAAATACAACCTTGGAATTGGAATTAGAAAAACAAATTTTCTCTTTGTTAAACAAATCCTTTGTTAACACTAAATGAATCAAACTGCTAAAACCTTTTATTCTTTGATATTTAAAGACTGAGGTGTTCATTGTTGTTGCTTGTTGTTGGTCATAGGGTTGAACTCAGGGTATGGGCGCTGTCCCTGAGCTCTTTTGCAAAAGGTTAATGCTCTATGAGTTTGAGTTACATCTCCACTTCCAGTTTTCTGGTGGCTAATTGGAGATAAAAATCTCATGGAGGAACTGTGAAGGTGGCTCAGTGGTAGAGTGCTTGCCTTGCATGCACGAGGCCCTAGGTTCGATTCCTCAGCACCACAATAGCAGAAAAAAACAGGAAGTGGTGTTGTGGCTCAAGTAGTAGAGCACTAGTCTTAAGCTGAAGAGCTGAGGGACAGCGCCAGGCTCACAGTTCAGGCCCCATGACCGACCCCCCCCCAAAAAAAAAAAAAATCACGGACTTTCCTGCCCAAGCTGGCTTTGAACTGTGATCCTCAGTTCTTAGCCTCCTGAGTAGTTAGGGTTACAGGTGTGAGCCACCAGTGCCCAGTCTAAGGGTTTTTATTTTTATTTTCGGCCAGTTTTAGGGCCTAATCACTGTTCCTGAGCTTCTTTGCTTAAGGCTAGCACTCTACCATTTGAGCCACATCACCACTTTGGCCCTTTTCTTTTTATATGGTACTGAGGAATTGAATCCAGGGCTTCATGCATACTAGGCAAGCATTCTACCACTAAGCCACATTCCCAACCCAGTCTAATGAGATTGACAGGAAATTGAAACATTTGATAATAGTAAAAGACAAAAAAAAATCATCCAAATTATTATGCACAGGAAATTGTATTTTTAAAGAAAGTATTGTAGGACAATAGAAGATGGAGGTGGTTACAAAGAAGAGAGAAAAAGATATATGTATATTTAATATAGACACTTAAAGTAAGCCTAGTGTTACTGATAAGCTTATGTGTTGAATCCTAGCTACTTAGGAGACAAAGACCTAGAAGATTAAGTTTGAAGCTAACAGATAACTGTCCATCTCCAAAGCCAAACAGAAAAGTGTCCATCTCCAATTAACCAGCAAAATGTTGGACTAGAGGTATGCACATGATCAAGTATGAAAGCTATAAGCAAGCAAGTCATGCAATGATATGAAGCTCTGGGTTCAAGCACAAGTACTGGCAGGTGTGTGTGTGTTCATGCACACACACATACAAACTTAAAGCAGAAGAACTGACACTTCGTTGAACTCAGGATATAGAAAAAAATTTCTTAAACCTGCACATTATACCTTAAAAGTGCCTGTATTTTGTCAGTAAACACAAGCTTATTGAGACTAGAGATGGTTGAATAAATCCTCACATGAAAATATATTACCCCAAAGACATTATTTTGTCAAGTAATATGTACTTTTCTCCCCCCAGCCACCAGGATTTATGAGAGAAAAAAATGCATTTAAAATGGTAGGAATACAAATGCTGTTTCTGTATAGTATTTTAACACTGATTATGTTTATCCTACTTCATTTATCCTCTAAAAGCCACAGCTTCTTTTGTGGCTGTTAATAACAAACAATCCTGCCTTAAGAGTTATTTATTTATAAAGTTCTATGCCTAAATTATTGTAAAAGATAAACATTTTCCCCTACAGATTTAGTCTCAATTATGATGAAAAATAAAATCTCATTCTCTTTCACAGTACATATCATAATGAAAAGTACTTATGGAAGGGAACCAAATAGCTGCAAGATTAGCTCACAAGACACAAATGATATACAATAAGGAAATGTAAGAATTCGATCATCAAATACCAACAATAGCTTGTATATAATATTGTGCTTTTTTTCTATCTATTAATACAACCACCTCCAAGGTCATGAGGGGATTACAATTCTCAAGGCTAGGGCACTACCACTTGAGCCACAGAGTCACTCCCATCTTTCAAATGAAGACCCAAATTAATTCAAACATTTGATCTTTTTAAATTTCAAAGATGTGTCAAAAAAGCTTTATGCATAAACCAAGTAATTTGATACTGCCTGACCATATCAGTACTATACATACTTATCTTAATTCAAATATTGAACTAATAAAGTTTAAATAAAAATACTATCATCTTTAATGGAGTCAAAATTCAAAACAATAGAAAACCCATTAATTCTTTATTTTTATTATTTTTTTTGTAAAAATGTTGTACAGAGGGGTTACAGTTACATGAGTAGGGTAATCAGTACATTTCATAGTGAGCATTGTTACCTCCTCCTTTATTTTCCCTCTATCATCACTTCCCTCCCTACCTCCCCAACTCCTCCCACGCCCCCCCCTCGACATTGTAAAGTTCATTTTCAATATAGTGTCCTGTACATCTCATGGGTCAGCCTGCATCCTCATTTAAGCGTTCTGCAATATCCCTTCCCCTCCCCAAATTACAAAAGTATATATACAAGGTGCAGAGCACCAGCATCAAATCCAGTGAAAACAGAGTTTATATCATGGGGGAAGAACATACAATAGAAACAAAAGAATCACATAGTGTATTGTAAGTACATTAAAAACACTAGCAAGAAACAGAAAAAGAAAAAAAATATGCTGGTGTATAGGACCAGTGAATTAAATTTTCTCCAATTAGTTATCAGTGTTTATAATATTTAAGGTATCAGCCCTACATGTAGTAAACTGAAAAGAATTTTAAATACAAGACAGAAGCCAGGCACCAGTGGCTCATACCTCTAATCTGAGGAATGTGGTTCAAAGCCAGCCCAGGCAGGACAGTTTGTGAGACTCATCTCCAATAAACCACCAGAAAACTGGAAGTAGTGCTGTGGCTCGAGTGGTAGAGCACTCGCCTTGAGCTGAATGAAAAGCTCAGAGTTCAAGCCTCGTAACTGACCAAAAAAAAACCCAAACAAACAAAAAACCACGACAGAGAAATGTTTACTTACTAGTATCTGCTGAAGATCAGTATATGCAGCTTCTAACCTGCGTTGGCAATCTGGGATCATCATCCGAGACTCTTGAAGGATTTCTGCCTATAATGAGATCTCTGTGAGATATGCAGACATAATAGAACTTACATGTTCTGTGAGATATGTAGACATGATAGAACTTAGCTCAGACCCTAGCAAATATGATTAAGAGGAAACATGAAAAAAAAGATTGGTAAGTGCCTCAATATTTTAATTTAAACTGTTCATGAGAAGTTAGGTTATACTATGAAGTCAACAAAGTATAAGCTCTAAACTTGTATTAAAGTTTTTTTTTTAAGTTTTGTTCTTAGTAATCATCTCATGGTAAATGAAAACTAACTGGAAAAGCTTTTTTTTTATAGAACATTTATTTTAAAAGGCTATTTAAAATAAACTATTTTCCCTGCTGTTACAAAGCACCTTTATCCAAAATGGGATCAGCTGGTTATATAAATATCTCCTGCATCTTTTCAGTAATAAAGAAAAACAGTGTTCAGATAATATCACAAGAAGATAATTACTGCATGAAAAAAGTTATTGAGTTATTGATCACATCATGTGCACACTGCAGGGGGTTCTCACTGAAAGGCAGAGATAAAGAAAAATGAAAAGCCAAGACCAGCAGGTTCGTATTTTTGATGCTTATCATGCATAAAAAGTTATTACTTATCCATGTGCTTCATTTTAGGAGAGAGATTATTCTCCCCATGCAGTTTGAGCCAAATTACTAACGTGGCACCCTTTGAATGTGAACTTCTTGCTATTTCTCCTGAAGATAAACTACAGAATTAAACATAGGCATATTTATTACCGGCAAATTTTTTTGTGTCTTAAAGTCTACCATTCAAAGCTGGTCTATAATACAAGTTATAAAAAAAAAACCAAATCAATAACTGGAAAATCTAATCAATACAGTTAGTGTCTGATGTCGGACCTAACATATGACTTTTTTTTTTTAAGTAGCAAGAAGCTTTATTTCCTTAAACTTAAGTTATTTAATCAAGTAACTAAAGAGAAATGGGTATAAAACTTGGACCATAACTAAGACTATCTAGCTCAAATAAAGGAAAAGGCATCGTTTGGTACCAATAATGCTGTAATATAATAAAACCTTACAAAGTCCTGGCATCTTTACCCTTTCTCCATCAGTTCTGTCAAAGCTCACAATATAGACAAAAGTGATAATATATGAGGATTGTCCTTTATCCACATCAGTTTGCTCAGGTGGAAAGTACTAGATTTATTAGTCAACTTGTAATCTTTAAGATGGACTGAAACTTCAAACAGAGGATCATGACTTCATTTGCAGATTAAATAAACATTTAATTGATGACACTAAATTATTTTTTACATACCTGTTGAATTTTTACAGATCTTTTTGAATATGTGTGAAAAATAAGTGAGTGACAGCAACATTTCAGGTTTTCTCACCTATGGAATTTTTTAGAATAGCTTATAGATGAAATAAATAAAAGAATAAGGTAAAAATGTACACTTACACAAATTTTTAAAGTTTTATTGTTGGTGAAACAAACTTTAAGTATTATCCAAAATAACTTCTATTCATTATTATACTATTATTACATATTAAAATATTCAATTAGTCTATGAAAATATAAGGGGCAAGAGTTCAGTTTCCTATAGTCCACCTAATTTATTCAAGAAATTTACATTCATCTCTTCATATCTAAGGATTTATACCTGCAGATTCAACTAACAGTGGGCTGAACAATTTAAAGTGAAAAGCATCTGTATTGTATCTGCACAGAATTTGTCATTATTTCTTATGTGGTGCTGAGGAATCAAACCCAGGGCCTCATGCATGCGAGGCAAGCGCTCTACCACTGAACCACCTTCCCAGCCCATGTCATTATTTCTTAAACACAGTATAACAACTACTTACAAGCATCTACATTCTGTTAGGTATTGTAAAAAATCTATAAATGATTTAAAATAAGCAGGAAGATGTGTAGATTTATATATATTTGTATACAAATACTATGTCACTGTATGTTAAAAGTCCTGAACATCAGGTCCTGGAGCCAATCCCTTAATAGATATCAAGGGATGACTGCATATCTAAAGGATGCCCATACAGGGAACACAAAAGATTAAAAAAAATACACATCTGCCATTGCTTCAAGAAGACCATGACAAAGAAAGTCATAGGAACAAAGCATTTGGATACCATTAACCACATTAATCACATCCCCATCAAAGCTACAAATCATATTTTACCTTGTAGCAATGCATTACAATGATTAAAGACTCTGTCTTCAAAATGATAAGCAAAAAGCAGTGCTAGAGGTGTGGCTCAAGTGGTAGAGCAGCAAATAAGTCAGTCAAGTTCAAACCTCAGTACTCTATTCCCCAAAAGGATAGTATATATGATTATTATACTGTGAAGATCCCTCAAAAATACTTAAACTTAACTATGTGAATATTATTTTTTCAATATATCTCTCCTGGAAGAGAGATATTAAATTATTCATGAGAAGTCTTAAGTAAAATCAAGAACTTGATCATTAACCAGGGGCTGGTTATAATATCCATAAACTCTATGTTAATAATCCATAGACATTCTAACATTGGATATCTGCTGCCTCTGAAACCATGGTAATAGTATTAGTTCGCTAGGCTGAGATCTAGAGTTATCCACAGATTACTAGAATAATGGCTAAGACTTTTGTTTTATATGGTGGTAGAGTGTTAATGTGCTCACATGTGAAGAAATCTATTTGACTTGTGTTTTATAGTCGGCTGAATCCAATGGGTCAACTGTCTTAATGTAAATGGTACAACTATACCAGTTAGAAGATAGCAAGCATAACAAAAAGATAGAAAAGCAAAATATTCTCAAAACAAGCAGAGGAATTAAATAATAGCAGTATAAAAAAGTGCAATTCAATAAAATTACAAATAGGAAAACTAGTGAGAAAACTTAATGGAATAAAAGTAATGAAACAAAAAATTGATACTTTAGTAAGATAAAGTAAGGTGGCACAAATCACCAAAAATAGTACCAAAATGGAGGTCCTACAGCCACTACCAGGGGAAAAAAAATACTAGGAATAATTACTTTTCATAATGCTCATAAATAACTTAGAACCAATAAACTAACTCCTCAAAAATTTGTAAACCACCAAAACTCAAACAAATACCCTAAATAGCCTTATAATCCTTAAGGATATTGAAAATGTATTCTGAAACAGCCTGGAGAAAAAAAATTCTCTCAGTCCAGATAGTTTCCTTAGATAACTCTCAGCCCAGATAATTTCATTAGATAATTCTACTAAATACATAAAGAATTCACATGAATTCATGCAAATTCTTTAAGGAAACCAAGAGGAATAACACGTTCCAACTAATTAAATGAGACCAGTATTTATCTAACACCCAATCAGATAGACAATATTAAAACAAACAAAAACTTCCCAAAATAAAACAAAAAACTAGGTAAAAGTACACATGCCTGGAATTGAGGCACTCAGGAAAGAGACAAGAGTATTAGAAGTTCAAGGCTAGCCACCTTTTACATAGGATTCCTTGTTGCAAACAAAATGAAAACCACTATTTCTCACATATGTAGTGATGAAAACTCTCAACAATCTATCAATATATAAAAATAGTCAAATTCTATGATCAAATGAAACATTCCAGGTATTCAAGACACAATGCATATCATCAGAAATATTAACAAGTCAAAGAACAAAACTCAAATAATCAAATAATACAGAAAAATAGGAGTTGACAAAAATCAACCAACCAGGCTAGGAATGTGGCTTAGTAGTAGAGTGCTTGCCTAGCATGCATGAAGCCCTCAGTACCACATAAACAGAAAAAGCCAGAAGTGGCACTGGGTCTCAAGTGATAAAGTGCTAGCCTTGAAGCTCAGAGACAGTGCTTAGGCCCTGAGTTCAAGATCTAGGACTGGGAAGAAAAAAAAAAAATCAACCAACCATTCATGGCAAAGTACTCAGCCAAGCAGGAACTTCTTTAACCAGAAAAAGCCCATAAACAGAAATGGACAGCTAAAAAAGTCTGAATGCTTTCTGCAGAAGATTGAGAACAATGTAAGGATGTCTATTCTATTTTTTTTTTTGTTCCGGTCGTGGGGCCTGAACTCTGGGCCTGGGCGCTGTCCCTCAGCTCTTCAGCTCAAGGCTAGGGCTCTACCACTTGAACCACAGCACCACTTCCAGCCTTTTTTTTTTCTGCTTATGTGGTGCTGAGGAATCGAACCCAGAGCCTCATGTATGCAAGGCAAGCGCTCTACCACTGAGCCACCTTCCCAGCCCCCACTATTTTTTTTTTTTATTTTATGGGCTTGAACTCAGGGCTTGGGCACTGTCCCTGAGCTTTTTTGCTCAGTCCTAGTGTTCTACCACTTTGAGCCACAGCTCCACTTCCAGTTTTGGAGTGGTTAACTGGACATAAAGTGTCTCACAGACTTTCCTGCCCAAGCTGGCTTTGAACCACAATCTTCAGATCTTAGCCTGAGTGGCTAGGATTATAGGCATGAGCTACCAGCACTTGGCTATTCTCACTATTCTTATTCAGTATAGTCAGCAGTCGGTTAAGAAAATAAAATAGAAGATACAGATTGGAAATGAAGATGGGGGAAAAAAAAGAAATGAAATTTTATTTGTTAGTACTGGGGCTCTTGCTTGGCTTTTTCACTCTACCACTGATCCTTAACTCCAACTTCTGGCTTTTTGTTTGCCTGGGCTGATTCTAAATCTTGATCCTCAGTTGTCAACCTCCTAATTAGCTAGTATTATAGGCATGAGCTGCCAGCAATTGGTGAAAAAAAGATTTAAAAAAAATTAAGTATGTGGGGCTGGGAAGGTGGCTCAGTGGTAGAGTGCTTGCCTTGCATGCATGAGGCCCTGGTTTCAATTCCTAAGCAACACATGAGCAGAAATGCTGGAAGTGGCACTGTGCTCAAGTAGTGGAGCGCTAACCTTGGGCTCAAGAGCTGAGGCACAGCATCCAGACCCAAAGTTCAAGCCCCACAACTGACCAAAAAAAAAGAAAAAAGTATGTGTGTGTGTTTTTAAAAAAGATTAAGGAATAATGGTGGCAAAACAGGAAGAAAACCCAGAGTCTGCTTCTATCAATGCTTCTGTCCCAATAAAAGAATGCTTCCATAACAAAGTGATTACTTGTCTCAAATGCAGAAGTATGTAAGGTAAGTACAGAGGAATGATGACAGCAACACTGACAGTTATGACCAGGACTAAGGCACACAATCCTTCTTCTGGAAAGGAAGGCAGTACATTTTGTGGCAGAAATATGAGCTTTCTGACAGCCCCCATTTTTTCCAGGAATTATGAAGCAACTGTCAGCTAAGAGTGAACATTCAATAACGCTATGATGGAAAATAGAAAGTGTTACAGAAGCATAATTTAGTGTAGAGATGGGTAGTGTAGGTGGTCTATAGAATAAACAGGTTCTTCAAGAACAGAGAAAGGAGTTGGATGAACATACCAGGTATGCACAAAACTTCAGGACAAAGAAGGGCAAATACAGAAAATAAAAAGGCAAAGACAAAAATGTCCAGGTAGAAAGTTTTAGGAGATGCTCTGAGAGACAGAGGAGATACCCAAAGCAAAAACTTTGTGTACAATGCTAAGGGAAAAAAAAATGTATAGATGCACAATACATATTTTATTTTGGTAATCTTCACATTGGTTTGGAGAAATTATTTCTTGTTAAATGTGTAAGTATACTTACTGTATGGTTTAACTCATTTTTAAACATAAAAACTTGGAAAAGCAATATAGAGCTAGAATGTGTTCAACTTCCTGCTATGTCACATAAATGCCTTAGTTGCAGCTTTCTTAGCTTACATGGGAGGTATAGAGAAGTAATAGTACCATGCCAGGTCTTTATGAAGACTACATAGCTGTTACTATTAAGGTAAACTTTTACCTGTTTCTTAATGGCATAATTTTCACCATCTTCAGCTTTCATTTTTTCAATCTTTTCTTCTTGCTGTTTTGCTTCTTTTTCATACATTACTTTTTCTTTGACCAATCTATAAATAAGCCAAAAATTGTTTTAGAGAATTAGCTTTTCTCTAAAGGATATGTCACAAGAACTACAAAAATGTAAAATACAGGTAAAGTACTCAAATTGAAAGATTAGATGTGGAGGGAGAGGGGAAAACATTTTAGCCACAGATTCAACTATGCTCTTAAGTCTTGTGAGGGAAACAAGTACAATCTATGGATGTATAGTTTTAATTTTAAAATCAAAATTGCTTATCATTAAATATATTATTTACACCAAGAAACAACATTCAAAATTACTTAGTGACATTTCTATTATTTTTTTATTGATTATTTTTTCCCAGACTCTATATACAAGTACTTGAAAGACTATAACCTGTAACAGCTTAGCCTATACTAGGGACAAATGTCAGTATTATGCTAAGTCCAAAGAAAGGTTATTTTCAACAAAATGTGTTTAACAAGTTTTTACTATAATTTAATGTATGCCAGACTTTCCTTATACAACCAACTAGGATAATTTCAAGATGGTTCTCTTACAGACAAATAGTACAAGTAAACCAGAATTTCCTGGCAAGAAAAAGTATTCATGGTCAGGGCTGGGAAGTTGGCTCAGTGGTAGAGTGCTTGCCTTGTGTGCATGAGGCCCTGGGTTCGATTCCTCAGCACAACATAAGCAGAAAAAAGCCGAAAGTGGCACTGTGGTGGTAGGGTGCTAGCCTTGAGCTGAAGAGCTGAGGGACAGTACCTAGGCCCAGAGTTCAGCCCCCCACAACCAACCAAAAAAAAAAAAGTATTCATTATAAGGAAGTTTTTTTGATAATAAGGAATTAATCATACAGGAACTGACATCTCAAGTGGTAGAACACCAGTCTTGAGCCAAAAAAGCCTAGAGAGAGCTTGGGCCTGAATTCCATCCCTACTATGAAAAACAAACAAAAAATAGGAATAAGTACAATACAAAGCTCTATTGACTGTCCCTTAGGTAATCAGAATCCCAATAGCTCAGTCTACCTTAATTATAGTTAATCAAACTGTGTGCCCATGGGCATGCATTAGCGTATGCATACATGGGTGCCTGCACCTGTCCTGGGGCTTGAACTCAGCCTGGGGCTGTCCCTGAGCTTTTTTGTTCAAGGTTATTACAACTTGAGGAACAGCTCTACTTCTGGCTTTTTGGTGGTTAACTGAGATTAAGAGTCTCACAGATTTTTCCTGCTCAGGCTGGTTTGCACTGAGATCCTCAGATCTCAGTTTCCCGAATAGCTAGATTATAGATGCCTGCCTATTTATCAAAGTTTTAATTTAAAAAAAAGTGTAGTCCATAAAAATCCTAAAGAAAAAATGGAAAGCTTTCTGACTCAATACATATGAAAAAAAGCTTTCGCTATTTGACTTGTTTACTTCTAGCCCCATCCCATGCTGAGATATGACTTAAGAAACCTATTTATAATGAAGTAACATTTGTGTAACAGTTTGCAATGAAGATATTTTAAAAAGCATATTTCAAAAATGCAATTTTTATATTTTAATGTATATTTAAATTTCATATTATTTGGACTGCACATAAATTTACAAATCTTTTAAGCATGTAAAAGCAAAACAAGAATGAAAACTCCAAAATGCTTGGCACAGTACCTGGAAGGATTTTAAATCAAGATTTAAATTACCATATACTAAATACTAAAATGTTCTAGTTTGGAACTTTACAGTATTCAAGTGGCTCACCTTCATGATCTTGTATTATTTCTATAGATGGAAGGAAATATAACAAACCATTAACAGTACATATAATAAAATGTTGTGTGACCCTCATACACTACCTGAAATATCTTCAATGAAAAGCACCAAAGTACACAGGCTCCACACAGTGATTCATACCTCAACAGAGGTTCACAGCCTGAGGCCAGCCCTGGGCAAAAAACCCTAAAAGAGGGCTGGGAAGGTGGCTCAGTGGTAGTGCGCTTGCCTTGCATGCATGAGGCCCTGGGTTTGATTCTTGAGCACCACATAAGCAAAAAGAAAAAAGCCGGAAGTGGCACTGTGGCTCAAGTGGTAGAGTACTAGCCTTGAGCTGAAGAGCTGAGGGACAGCGCCCAGGCCCAGAGTTCAGGCCCCACAACTGGACCCCAAAAAACAAAAACAAACAAAAAAACTTAAAAGACCCTACCTGAAAAATAAGGAAAGCAATCAAGCATGAGTCCAAGTTCAAACTCTAGTAATCCCAACCCCCACATGAAAAGTACAAAGTATAAAACAGAGTATAAGTTCTATGCTGTCAAAATACAAAAAAAGGATGCTAAAGAAACAAATAACAAAAGATCATGTGGAATTGTCATTTAGGGAAAGGGAGATGAGTTAGAGTGGGGAAATCTTTATTTTGTACTCAATAAAGTATAAGATTTTCCCCTATGTAAAAATATTGTTTTCATTTAAAAGGGGGATATGAAGATTAACCAGCACAGTGGCTCATACTTGTAATCCTAGAATCCTAGTTACTCCAGCGGTGGAGGTTAGAAAGACTGCAGTTTAAGATCAATCCAGGCAAAAGTTTGAGACCCTCTCTGAACCAATACCTGAACCAATAAAACTTAGGCACAGTAGAAGTATAAATAGGAGAATTATGGTCTAGACTGGTCAGTGGAAGTACAAACAGGAGAATTAGTCTAGACTGGCCAAATATGAAAGACCTTATCTGAAAAACAAAAAAGTAAAGGGGGCTAGAGGTATAGCTTAAATGGTAGACCACCTGCCTAGCAAGGATTAAGTACAGAGGTCCAACCCTATTATTGCTGAGCCAGAGCCAGACACCTTAATTTTAATTTAGAAGTTTGCCATATACCCACCCATCCTCCTTGGAAATTTGTTACTAATTTCCTGGAATAGATATTCGAATTGATCAGGTATTAGTGGATTACTTTTGTAATCCTTGCCACTCAGGAGGCTAAGATCCAAGATTGAGGTTTGAGGACAGCAGAAAAGTCAACAGTCTCCAGCTAAATTATTGCCAGTAAAAAGCAGGACTGGAGGGAGGTATAGTTCAAATAATAGCCAGCCTACCAAGCATAAGGCCCTGATTATCCTAGTACTGCACATCCCCACCTGCCCCCCCCAAAAAAAGATTCAAATTGAAAGATACAGAATAGGTATAGTTCTCTAAAGACTAATCTGCTGTTTTGTAAGATTTAAAGGTGATGAAAATGTTTACATTTTTAAATGGTTATGGGTTACTGAGGCCTGATGTGGAAGACTTTCACTTAACTTTAACCACTACTTAACTGTCTTAGCATTGTCTATACTACGCTGAGGCTGGTTTACCTGCTAAATCTGTAGTTGCTTGAAGGCAGGATTAGGTAATATTCATATTGTATTCTTCACATTTCACATATTGTAGGTACTCGCTGTAAGTTGAATGAATTAAAAAGTGAATCTTTAGAGTTTCTAGTCTTTTGTTATTTTCAGATTAAAGAGCTATATAAAACAATTCTGTTGTGAAATAAGTGATTTTCAATAACTGAGAATAATGTGATTTTTGAGGAAGTATACAATAGAGAGTGTACGCCTAGTCCCAGGTCCATAGATATTTGCACTAATGATCCTAGTTATCCTATTCCATTGTGCTTCTCTATGAAAAATAGCAGCAATGGCTCCAGCAAAACTAAAGAAACTGTCTAACTACATGTCACATTTAGCAAGTAATGGTACTGAATATTTACATGGTTACTGAAATATCAAAACAAAAGTTTTTGTTTAAAAAGGTCCTATTTTGCCAGGCACAAAGGCTCATGTCTGGAATCCTAGCTACTTAAGAGAATGAGACCTGAGGATCGCTGTTTGAAGCCAGCCCAGGCTGGAAAATCCATGGTACTCATTTCCAATTAACCACCCAGAAAACCAGAAGTGGCACGATAGCTCAAAGGGGTAGAGAGCCTAGCCTTGAGCAAAAGAGCTCAGGTAGAGCCCCGGCCCTGAATTCAAGCCCTATGACCAGAAAAAAAAAAAAAAAGTCATTTTGCCAGGCACTGTAATTCTAGCTACTCAGGAACCTGAGATCTGAGGACTGCTGTTCAACGCTATCCCAGGCAGGAAAGTTCCTGAGACTCTTACCTCCAATAAACTACTCAGAAAAAGCCAGAAGTAGTGTTGTGGCTCAAGTGGTAGAATACTAGTCTTTGAGGAAAAGAAGCTCAGGGACAGCACCAGGCTCAGAGTTCAAGTCCCAGAATCAGTTTTTCTTTTTTTTTAAAAAAAAGGAAGAAAAATGGAAAAGGTTCCAGTCAAGCAGCAAAAAATCAATGCATGGACAACACATTATATAATGCTGGAATTACAGTTGCTGCAACACATTTCATAGTACTGACATGACATCTTATTAAGTATTATCCTAGTAAACACTTAGATCGTTCTCATAGTTATAACACTGTGATGAATACCTTTACTTATAAATTTGGGGGCTATGTGCTACGCTTTATATTTGATATGATCCTCAAAGGCTAATGTATTCATCTTTTTTTTTGGTCGGTCGTGGGGCTTGAACTCTGGGCCTGGGTGCTCAGCTCTTCAGCTCAAGGCGAGCACTCTACCACTTGAGCTACAACGCCACTTCCCAAAGGCTAATGTATTCAATGCTTGGTTGCCAACTGAAAGGGTTTGGATAGTGATTGGATCACGAAGAGTTCTTACTTCCTTACAGGTTAAACCACTGATGGATTCATAATTTGTTGGGATTTTCAAATTATGGGAAGCAGGAGATATGATACCTGGTTAGAAGAAGTAGGCTACTAGGGGTGTATATTTGAATGTATACATTGTTCTTGGTTCCTACCCATTCCTCTGCTTCCTGGACCTCTAGGTGTGCTCCATCATACTCCTCTGTCATATGCTCTACACCTCACCCAGGCCAAAAAAACACAGAACCAGATGGCTATGAACTGAAATCTCTGAATCTATTATCAAAAGAAATCCTTCCTCCTTTGTTATATCATATGCTTGAGGCAACAAACCAACAAAAACATGTAATAAACTA